TAGTATATCCCACTGGAGTTTTGCAAGGTATCCTCAAGTCATGAAAACAATTCCATGAAAATAAATCCTATCTCTGAGTTCCTTCAGATCCAAACTAACATTTAAGGATGGGTAGCAGAGGTCAATTTCAAATGCCCTGATCCTAAGGAAGAGTGTGGGGTTGGGGTACAGTGATGGGGCCTTTGGGCCTGCGAAACCCAAGTCTCCACTACAATGCAACTTCTTGTACTTTGAGAGCTAGAAAGAAGGAAGTACTTCACCAACAATGAATCATCCCTCAGCTTAAATCTTATTGGAACTGGTGCCAATGTGACTGCAGGTACTTTAGGGACAGGAAGGGTAGCTGTGCTAACTAACAGTGCTGATGGTTCAGAAAACTTAGGTGGAATTATAGAATCAACAAGCTGAGTATGAGATGGTCTCAACTTCTAGCTATACCTGTCTCTGCCTAGAGGAAAGGAGCTGCCATAGTTCCAATGACATTTTCCTGGAAAGAGTGAAGGTCAAGTCAGGGCATTGGGGGGACATTTAGTCTTAGGACTGAAAAGTCCCATCATTCTTTCCTGCTGCTCTGCACAGAATAGATGATTATAAGAATTGAGAGCTGTATTTTCCTCCCTTGGCCTTTATTTGGGGAGATTCAACTATACACATCAAAAAGAACAAAAAAGCTTAAAAAGAACCCCAAAACTAAAACTCTCTTAAAAAATATTACTTGATATTAAACACTCTATGTCAAATAGTATAAGATATAAAAAAGAAAAAAGGACCCTTAAGCTTTGCTTTTTCACATAATACAACACCAAGGTATGGCCTGAGACTAGTTAGGATTTCAATGTCTAATAGCAGGGGAATAAAAATCTCAGATGGAAAGACAGACCTTTGGTTTAGTTCTTTATAATACTAGTCATTTATCTTCATGAATTCATTACAGTGTCCTGGAATACTTTCAGACTGAATTAACAGTGTCGTACTACTAGGCAAAGAAGAAAAATGAGAAAATATGTAATTGAATTGCAGCCTCAATAGTTTTCTCTTAAAAGGTAATGAGTGACTTTTTTCCTATTAGGCAATTCCATGATCTCATGTTTTAAAAATAATATCCAGGAGATAGGAAGAGATCTTTGACCCATAAAGCTCTGATCCTTAGTTAAATCTTGGCAAAAGGGACACTTCTACTCGACTCGTTCTATCTGCCATATTTAAATAATTTCTTTTTATTTCAGTGCTGGAATTAAACCTCACTCACATGAGGCAAGTACTCTACCACTGAACTACATTCCCAGCCTACCACATCTGAATTCCTGCTACAGGATATTAGTATTCACGCTCCCCTTATTTTAGTGGTTTCACAATTATCTATGGGTAGCACTGTAAGTACAATTGAAACACAGCTTACCAAGAGGCTTTGTGTGATTGTCTTGCATTCACAATTTACATTTCAGGTAAGGAGAGATTTTTTTTTATTTTGATTGCTACTTATTTTTCTCCTTGAGATATAGAAAACCTTTTCTATTTGTAGTTTAACAATATATTTCTACCCAGAGCACTGCAGATTAATTTTAATCTAATGTCCTTAGCACTAGAAAAATAATCCACGGGCTGGGGATTTAGCTCATTGGCACTGTGCCTGCCTCACAAGTGCAAGGTCCTGAGTTTGATCCCCAGAACCAAAAAAGAAAACAAACAAACAAACAAACAAAAACCCATGACACAAAGTTAGGTATTTAAAAAATGTTAATTTACAGCCTAGTTTGGAGTTTTAGCTAATGAAATGTGAACATCCAATATGATGACATGCAGTTACTCATCAGTTTCGACTAGCTTTCTGAAGAAAACAAGCAGTGCTAATTTTTATGTGCACATTTTTGAAATGGAAATCTTCATAGGTGTTAGCATTAGATCAATTCTACTTCATCATGAAAACAAACCACACAAGTGTGTAAATACTATCAAAATTTCATAAACATAATAACAAAAATATTCAAATGTAAAAGAGCACAAAGAACCACAGTAATTCAGAGAAAATAAACAAGATGATTCATAAAGCCCCTGTGCTCTCAGGAGTGTTGTAAATCCTAGTCCTTTGCACAATTTGTTAAAGGCCACAACTGAGGAGGAGGGAAGAGATACAGAGATGACTCGGGAAATCTGACAAAGTGTATTTTACTTAAATACGTTTTACAAATCAAATGACTATAAGTCATTCCTGGTTTAGGTAAGCCAAAAGTACATTTATACTTCCTAAAATAGAAACAATAGTAAATAAAACTTGTCTGACAAAACAGAAACACATTTCATCTTAAGGACAATAATCTTTTATAAATGCTACGTCAAAAAAAAAAATCTTTGAAGTCTATACTGTCAGCCAAACATTCACCATGCTCGTGTCTTGGTAACCTCCACGTGAGGCTCTTGTTTGCTAAGAAAAGCTCATGAGCTGTAATCACTTCCCAGAAGCTCAGGCCAGAAAGAAGCCTGCCCAGTATCCTAACTCCACGGAAATTCGTGCATCCTGGGGAGACAACCCAACTCATCCCAGCATTTGACACAGGCGACTCAAAAATTAGTGAATTTTTCTATATGAAAGTAAACCATTTTGACCAGGTCAATTAAGAAAGAAGTTAGTTCCTTATGAAGGAGAGGGGAAGAAGCTGCTTCCCCCAGGAATAAGGGGACTGTTTCACTACGACCTTTGAGAGCCAGAAAGCAGTCATTACAAGTTTCACTACATACAACATTTGTGCCAGTAAAGACTATAAGATACTTACGATTTCTGTTTTCAGAAACAAAGTAAGATCAATAGCAAACCCTAAGCAAAAAAGCAGTTTAAGGAACTAAGTGAAAGAAAGTTTCATGATGTCAGATGAAACTTTGAAGGAACTGTTCTAAGACACAGGGCACAAAGAAATACTGAGGAAAGATAAATACACCACAGCGTAGTGTATCTAGGCAAGTGTGACATCAAATTTGGCTCTGATTCTAAGGCAAATGAGCCTTTTGCTAAACCCCAAGTCACATCTTGTTCACGAATAAAAGGGGGGTGCATCTTGCTAAAAATGATCACTAAATTGTTTCTAAGAAGCACTGAGGAAAAGACTGTAATTGCCAGTTTTGATTTATATAAATAGCATCATTCATGTCCCCTGTGGGCTTATTATGGCGTCTTCCAAAAATACATCTATGCACATTTTATTTCTCAAAGTATTATACGGTATAAAAATACTTTTATTTGAGGAAAAGGGGGAAGTAACACAAGAGTAAACATAATGGAGCATACCAAGTATAATGAAAAAATTAAAGTTTGAGATAATTCACAAAACTGTATTTTCCCTTGCAAGCAAGTAATGTTAAATTATGCCTCCAAGTTATATTTTTCACATCTGGGACTTAAGGCTCTGAATTTTATTTTCATAGGTAGCTGCCTTATCCTAGTTGATTACTACCAAAAAGTAGAAGACTATGCCCCTCTGTTCATGTCATGAGCACTCAGTCCTTCCAGCTAGTCAGGACTGTGGAGGAATCTTCTCAGCAGGTGTGCAAGGGTGTGTGCTCCACACAGAGGCCCTCAAATAGGGACCCTGCACTTTCTCCTGCCAGCCAGTGCATGAACACAGCACAGGTGATGAACACCAATGCCGAAGCTTAGAAATTCTGGATATTTCTGTCCTAACGATGTTCTAGCACTGATTCTTAATGTAACGATGACTTCTTAAGGAAGGCAGGACCATCCAAGCAAGCATCAACACAATATTCCTGGCTATAACTAGACTTCAAAAAGCAGGTGAAGAATGAACAGAAACTTAGATCACTGAAAATAATGCCTCACCAATTAGAAACTCCCTGCATCTTAAATATTCAGAGATGCTCATGCTACATTATAATACCTTGCTAGTGTCCCATTTCATATCCCTGAAACAAATGGAGCAAAGCAATTTGACTAAATCACAGGTGCGAGGGGTAGAGGATATGCCAGAACTTAAGCCTCCCTGAGGCACAGTGCCCTGTCACCTACCATCAGCAGCAAACTTTCTCAAGTGTTCTACAAGACCTGGCCTCCCGGCCTCATTCCATGTCACCTTCTGCTCCTGCCCACCTACCTTGGTCAAATGAACTAAGTTCATTCTTGCCTCTATGCCAACAAATAATGTTATCTTCTCCTTCTTGAATGTTCCTCCTCCCTGGCAACTAAGAATTCTCACTTCAGTTTAAAAATCTGTTTTCCAGAGATTAGTTCTATAACTAGACCCCATCCTTGCCCTAGTTTCTCCAACAGTTTAGGCACTATTTCTTCCTTGTAACAGACTTTTTTTTTTTTTTTTTTTGTACCAGGGACTGAACTCGGAACCTTGCACTTGTGAGGCAGGCAGTGGAACCACTGAGCTACATCCCTGGTCCTTCCTTATCACAAACTAATGGTCATTTATCAATTATTTTTTAAATACAGGGCTTCCTTAAAAGTTCCATCGAGAGAAAGGCCAGCAGGTTTTTCTTTTACTGTATTCACAATACAGATCCCTAAGCCAGTGCCTAGCACTCAAGAAAGTATTTGTTAAAAAAATAAAAACTTAAAATGATATAATACAATTCTTCAACAGTTCAACACACTTCCAGACAGTAAATACAATTCCTATTTTGAGGAAAGTGAGATCAGAGAAATTGACTTGAGCTAACACAGTGAGTGGGAAAAGGCAGAACCCAGATGTAAGGAACTGCCGGATCAAGCCACAGCTCTAAGATCAAATGTAGCTCATCAAGTCACTGCACAGTGCACAGAACAGCCCAGTGGCTCTAGGTCTTCAAAAAAACTTCACCATGAGAAGGAGTCAGAGGAGGATGATTGGTACATACACTCTTTCTCCCAAAACCAAGCTGTTTTATTTACACTCTTTCCTGCAGTTGGGAAAATGAGTAATTCACAATGATTGATGCCCATGGACTGACTGGTGTAAGTGGCTTCTCAAACAAATAAAAGAGACAAGAAAGCAAAGGGCACTTACCATAATTCCTGTGAGCAAGCAGACGCCTTTCCCACAGTATGTGTTAGGTACCATGTCACCATAACCAATGGACAGAAACGTTATTGAAATCAACCACATTGCTCCAAGGAAGTTGCTAGTAACATCCTGCTGATCATGGTATCTGAAAAAGAGCAAAGAAAGCCAGTCCTTTATAATTAATTTATAGAATGGGAGTTGAGGACAGTTTGTTCTGAATCAACAAATTCTCTGTATCTTCTATAAACTCATCTAGTTGAAGGTTTTCAAAGCTTGTAATTTTAAATAAAACTGAGGTTCTGTTTAGCAATCTGAACAACAACAAAAATACCTCAACTTCAAGAAGAACCTGAAAGAGAAATGATGAAATATGAAGGCTTTCTCACATTTATCTTTGTAGCCTCCTCTGGCCTCTGCCAATGTCACCTTGTTCTTCGACGCCTTGCTGATGTGCAGGACCCACGAGACAATATGAAGCTGCCCAATCTCATACTGCGCATTAGTAACAAAAAAAATCACATTGCACCCTTTGCCTGGCCTCTCCTTCCTCTATCTTGACTTCCTTGATATGGGTCAACTGCTCATTGTCCTTCAAAATAAATTCAGGTGGGGGTCTTTTCTGTTTATTCTTCTCCCTAGCCTTTCCCTTGTGTTAATTTACTACCTTGTGTGTCTTTATGTCTATCCCAAGGATGTAAAAGTTATTTACCAGGAGTTTCCATCCCTGCAGAAAGAAATTATCTCTCTGTTCACACCAGGACCAGCAGTAAACAGAAGCTGTCTTACCATCTGAATATGAACTTACAGTCAAAAAAAAAAAAAAAAGAGGAATACAATCAATCTCTGAAGTATTATACTGTATTTTTTTTTTCAGTAGAGGTTTTTGTATCAGAAGCAGGCATCACATATTGTTGAAACACCGGCTCAAATCAATCTCCCTCGCCCATGATACAAGCCCTGCTGTCCTTCATGTACACACACCACAGCCAGGCCACGCGAGTCGTCACACTGGCAAATCTGCTCTGTGCGCATGTTCCCTGTGGATGTGAGGCAGAGTGACCCTCCTCAGGTCTCTAGAGTAATCAGACCCCAAACTCTGGTCTCTAGAGGAGTTTCTTGCTCTTAATACCCTGCAAGGATCATGTTTCCTTCCCATTTCTCAGAATACCAGCTGGGATGGCTTTACTTTTCTCTTTTGTTCTTCAAAAGATGCCAATAATTACCCAGTACTGATTTCACTCTGGATTTATTCATTCAACCCTGCCTGTTAACTCAACTGTCTCTGATGCCAGGGCTGCAGTGGCAAGCAAGCTGGTTCTGACCAGAGCCAGAGGTCCTAGAAATCTCTGTGCATTTTTTCCCCTGATCCTCACTTCATGGTCCTGCTTCGATAACTCAAAGTGCAAAAGATTCCTGGAATATAAACTTTGTCCTGAAATATTAGTAGCTCTTATACTCTGTCTTCGGTACCTTTGACTTCTTCCAAAGAAGAAAGAAGAAATGCTGTTGTTCCCTGCTACTCTGGCCTATGGAAAGAGATGCTGCTGGCTGGAGTGAGTGGGATCCCAAGACAAGAAATGAGGACAGTCACTGTATGCCCTCAGAGAAAAGAAAGGGGATGTGAACAGGCAGCCAGCCTTTGGTGAGGAGCATCCTGCAAGGTGGTAAGAAGGCAGAAACCTGAACTATTTCACATCCAAGGACCAGCACACTGATCCAGCTGTGGAAGTGCCTCTACCCAGAATGCCTCAGTGGACAGCCTATCATTACCAAAGGGGGGCCAAGATGTATTGCTAGCTTTACAGAGGACAGGGAAGTGCATTTCTCCTGGGGATCTTTGCTGCATGTGTACATGGAGGTAGGCTGATGCGACTGATGCTGTGCTCAGCTGTAACGTGAGCTAAGAGTGTCTGTGGACTGTTGTATTTCAAAACAGTGCCATTAGTAAGCATTGGGTTACAACTCATCCATGACATTGAGGCTCTCTAGCAAGTATTCTTTACCATGCTGTTGTTTAAAACAGGAATGCATTCCCCTGGAATTAGTGTGGACTGTATAGAAAAGGAGAGGGAAAAATTAATTTTCTACTCATTTCTAAATTGTGAAATACAGTTTAAGAAAGCATGGCATACATATAGATCTGGCTCACTGGAGTTCATAGCTTCTGCACTGCTGGTGGGAATGTACTCTAGTACAGCTACCGTGGAAACCTAGAATGAAGATTCCTCAAAAAACAAAAAAGAACAATTCCACTTGACCCAGATTTTCCCTTTCTAGATATCTTCCCCAAAGAGTTCAAGACGTCATATTACAACGATACAGGGACACCCAAGTTTATAGCAGCACAATTCATGATACATAAAACTCACATGCAGCCTGTATGTTCATGAACAGATGAATACATAAAGAAATGTGGTATTTACACACAGTGGAGTACTACTCTGCCACAAAGAAAGATACACTTGAGTCGCCTGTAGGAAAATGGTTAGACCTTGAGACCATAATGTTAAGTGAACTACATCAAACACACAAGCTTAAATATAGCAAGGGTTCTCTTACATAAAAAATTTAAACTAAAAATAAAGAGCAAAATAAAAGGTAGATAATAGGAAGGGGAAAGACAGATCTCTCAAATAGGAAGCGGATCAAGAGAAAAAGGGAAGAGAGGGACATGGGATAAAAAAAGAACTAAGATGTATTCTATACATGTACCAACTCCACAGAGGAATATAAACATTATGTTCTGCAAACATGTAATAATAAAATAAAATGTTAAGAAAGAGTTCATGGCTCTAACTCCTGGAGGCCCAAGCACACATGCATCATATTTACTGAATGCTCACTAGGTATTATGTTCTTGCATTTTTTCATTTAACAAGCAATGCACTACATGGAACACTTTTGGCTGACATAGCTATAGTCTTCACCTTCCTTCCTTATATAAAAAAATGTGTCCTTACTCTGGTGTGAATAAACTACAATAGTACATAAGATTCTAATGATATAATTCACAATGTGAAATAGGAAGAAAGGGGCTAAAGGTGTAAGGAAAGCAGGAAGGGTAGGGGAAAGGGTAAGGGAAAATTATAAACATTATGTTCTGCAAACATGTAATAATAAAATAAAATGTTAAGAAAGAGTTCATGGCTCTAACTCCTGGAGGCCCAAGCACACATGCATCATATTTACTGAATGCTCACTAGGTATTATGTTCTTGCATTTTTTCATTTAACAAGCAATGCACTACATGGAACACTTTTGGCTGACATAGCTATAGTCTTCACCTTCCTTCCTTATATAAAAAAATGTGTCCTTACTCTGGTGTGAATAAACTACAATAGTACATAAGATTCTAATGATATAATTCACAATGTGAAATAGGAAGAAAGGGGCTAAAGGTGTAAGGAAAGCAGGAAGGGTAGGGGAAAGGGAATAAGGGAAAAGAAAAAAATAGGAGAAAATGAAAAAATGGAAAAGAAGTGTTTGTAAATGGGGAGGGGAGGAGGGGGTGAAGGGAGGGCAGGGACAAGGGGAAAAAATGAGAACCAAGACCTGTCATGTAAAGGTACAAGATCCCAATAAAGAATGTAACTGTACTGTATACCTAAAATGTACCAATAAACTCAATGAGAAAAAAAAAATGTGTTCTTAGACAGGAAGTCTCTAGATATTTAGAAATGTGCCCACTTCTAAGTTATTTTCACAGTGCTACTGTGTGTGATCAGGACATTACTCTGTTAACATGGTTTTTCCCCTAACTACAAAGAGGAGCTCAACATTCCACAGTAAAACAACAGCCTCTAGAGCACTGCTTCCGACTATTGCCCAGAGAGAGCACTGAACCGTGGCACGGGTGTAGAAATCTTCTCATTGGTTCTTCCTGCAGCACTTTGTATTCGGTTTTAAAGCTGGGAGCTGGAAATGACCGAAAATTATAATGTGAAGCAGTCAATGAAAACTTTAGCCCAACTAACTGTTCTTTAGTTGCTGCCTTTAATAAGTTCATGTGTTAAATGTAAACACAAATTTCTGCCAAATGCTCTGAAGTATTAGGATACTCTGTCATTCAGTCAATATTTATTATGTGCTATGCAAATCACACTGCATCAGACACTGTAACCTTGTATTAAAGGGCTAATTAGAAACAAAAATGTTTTCAGGAGTTACCATTGTCTGCCTTCAGACTCAATGATAAATTATCCTTTTTACTTATGACATAATAAACTTGTCTGAAAATAACCCAGCAAGGAAAATAACATCTCACTCTGATGTTACATTCAGGCATATATGGTTGTGAATAGTTAATGAGGTAATTAACCAAATTAGGAATTTAGGTACTACTAAAATAATCACCTGATTTCTTTCTTGGCAACTCAGAAACAAATACTAGACTTATCACCATGATTATGTTATCATTTACCCAGGTTTTCAATCAGTGCCAGATTCACATCATCATGAATGACTAACACAATTTAAAGAAATTTCTAAATATTTCTTAGAGTAGAAGTTAATTTCATAGACTTAGTTCCAGCCTTCTTCACAAGAACTATTCTGAGAAAGACATGAAAAATTAGCTCATGTGACAAATTTCAAGTTTTGATTAATATAAATGCTGGTTTAATGAAACATACATTAAATGAGATTAAAACTGATGTAAGAAATGGCTGGTGATCTAAAACTGTTAAAATAGCCTTTGGGGTTTCAGCCGAAGACTGCTTGAACTGTCTTATATAGTACTTCATCCTTTGTAGACTTAAAGATGGGGAGATCAGCTTTGAAGTTTCCAAAGAAGCAAAATGTTCCTTTTCCTCCTTTCTATTCCTTATTCTTGTCTTCATTCACTACCAACTGTAGTCTAGCACTGTTACTTAGATCACCATATGACATCTTAGTGTTAAAAACAACATTTGCTGAAGCTCACAGGGGTTGTCCTTCTCAGGGAGTCACTGAGATCTTTCCTGTGTAAGAGATGGCTCTGCCTCGCACTCCTGCACCCACAGCCTCCCTCTTTGCCCTCCCTCTGAAGGCTGGCAGTTCTATAGCCACTTTCAAAGCCCCTCCTCTGCTGCATATACATTCCTTTCTACCTGAAAGCACCTTCTCTTACATTCTAGCCCTGACTTTTTCTTTGAGATTCTGTTAATG